TCACTGACCAACCTCACACCAAGATCCAGGTGCTTTTCCAAGCCAACACCAAGATAAACTGCTGTGGATGGTGTGAGAGGCAGACAATTCATCCACTGCTGGTCCCCACACAGGAACAGGCACGGCTGGCTCACAGGGGACAAATCCCCAGGGACTTCAACGTTTCACTGTTCCCCAGAGCCCCAGGGAACTCAGCTCCACACCCACCGCTGCCTCTCCTCTGAAGAGCAGTGGTTTCCCAGAACCAAAGGCGGCTCTCCCAGAGGACGGGACCTGGGCTGGGGAATACGCAGTGCAGAGAGGCTGAGGTCAAACCCCTGGGTCTGTCACCAGGCCAGGGCTCCAGCTGACCCACCGTGTGCCTCTGTGCCAGCAGACACCGGGGCACAGGGCCCGGCTGCTCCCGGTTGTGCCGACGCTCCAGGCCCACGTCCGTGCCCACGCTGGCCAAGTGTGCGCTGAAAACACAGCCTGACCCAACCCCCGCTTCAGGAGCAGCGGGACAACGCTCCCAAGGACTCTTTTCGGGAAGTGCAGCTGCCTGACGCTCTTGCCGCTGCCAGGACACCCTGTTCCTCTGACACAGACCACAGCTTTGTTCTGGGAATTGTTTTGGACTCCTCCAGTGGATGCGGACACGCCTCAGCGTCTGCAGCACGTGGATGCAGAGGGTGCTGTCAGATTGTACCCCCCAAGGATGCTCCGCTGCAGACCAGACAAGGACCAGCTCTCAGAGCTCCCCCCTCCCCACTGACAGCCCCTCAGCTCGCAGGAGGGGTCAGTGCTCCCTGCTCTCCTCGGACCACACCCCTGCCGCCTCCCAGCCAGTCCCCTTTTCAGGTCCTCCAAGGCAAAGCAGATGAACAAGCAGGAGAAATTCACAGAAAAACAAATCTCAAAAATACAAGAACGGGCAAAACCAGCACTGAGGAGCACAGAATCCTCAGTGAGGGGTGGCAGACCAAGAGCTAAGGCAGCCACTTGCCATGAAAACGGAGCCCGGGTGCCTTTTGTAAACAGCCATATCCCTGACTCTGCCTTTTCCCTGGCTTTTTGGAACTGTTCCACTTCTGTAAAGTTTCGAAGCCTTAAAAATTAAGCCATTCTGAGGGCACGGAGTCGCTGGTGATGTTTTCCACCAGCCCCTCCAACTGCACTGTAAACAATCGCTTCCTGCTCCTGTTGTGTAATGATTCAAAGACAAAAACAAGCCGTATTTACTTTCTCCAACAGAGCAATTACAGCCCTGACCCAAAGCGACTGCGGGGGCTGCCAGGCCTCCTCCTCCTCCTCCTCCTGGCTCAGCTCTGCAGCCCAGTCAGCTGAGAGAGCAAAAGGGCAGCGGAAAGTACAGAGAAACAAGGAGCACTTGCAGTTGCCGGCACCAAACTCCCTCACCCCCCTCTGTCCCTCCGGGGCTATTTTAATCCTGCTTTCTTTCAACTAACTCTGAGCCTTGGATTTTGTTTTCCTTCTGGCTCACACAGAGTCCGAGTGATCCACAAAGGCAAACCAGACTCCTCCTGACCATAATAAGCTGATTCTCACCAGTTTAGCAGTAGGGAGTTACTAAGGGGCTGATTTAGGATTTTAATGCATGGCTTAGGAGAACACAGCAGGGTCCCAATAAGCATCCCGGGGCACCCAGGCTTCGTATGGTTCTTGTTTGTGCATGTTCCCTTGGCAGGGGAGGGCTGGGTGAGCATTCAAGGCCGGAAGGGTTGTGCCAAGAAAATACCAAATATTTACAGTTTCCAAGAGAGCGGCGAGGGGCCGGATCAGCAGTTTTTGGCAGGAAAAAAGCTCCAATTTTAAAACCCACGTAAGGGAACACGCCCTCACCTGCGTTTGGGCAGTAACTGGCACAACACGAGGCTTTTGTTCGGCACGAAAACACCGATCTCGGCGTTCCACAGACAGCAGAGCTCAACCCATCCCCGCCAGGGATGTGACCTGCCAGAAACACGCAGCTCTCCCCGCGCCAGCTGGCAAAGGGCACCAGAAAACAGCGGCTGATGTTCCGTCTGACCCCACTACGGGGTCTGGCCATAAAATCTGGGACTCTCCACGGTCACCCCCCACCTCCCGAGCCTGCCCCCCGCGCCCCTCTGACAAAGGGCCGGGTGCGGTGCGGGCACCGACCCCTCCGGGTCGCAGGGGCCGCCAGGGAGGGCGTGTGGCGCTCGGGGACAGCCACCACCCCACGGCGGGGGCGGGATGGGCCGCGGGGAGGGCGATTTTGGGGGGATCGCTGTCGCTCTGACAGCCCTGGGAGCGACACCCCGACATCCCCCCCCTCCGGACCCCGCCGGGGGGATCCCACCCTGCGGACTGCGCTCCGGTGACCGCCCGGGACAGGAGGGGACGCGGGGGCGGCGCGGGGACCCCCGACCCCGCCGGGCTGTGCCGGGCGGGCGCGGCCGCGACCGAGTGACATCAGCGCACGGCGGCGACTGCGGCGGCACCGCCCGCGGCCGGGGGGCAGCCCCGCTGATCCCCCCATCCGTCCGTCCATCCACCCCCAGCCCTCCCTGCCCCCGCCCGGGCGCGGCCCCCTCACCGAAGGCGCGGCGCTGTTTGAAGGGCCGGTCCGAGGGCATCGCGGCGGCTCCGCTCCCGCGGCTCGGCTGCTGCGCTGCGCCGCTGACGTCACCGCCGCACGCCCTCGGGGGCGGGGCCTCGCCAGACCCGGCCCCGCCCACCGCCCCGCGGCCCCGCCCACCGCGGGGCTGCCCCTGAGGGGAGCCGGGAATGGCGTGGGGATCGTGGGATCGCTGGGATGGGAGCGGTGACACTGACCTGGGGTGCCGTGGAAATCACGGAACCCCGGGTTGGGTTGGGTTGGGTTGGGAGGGGCCTTAAAGCTCGTCCTTGGAACGTTTTCCACCAGCCCAGGTTGCTCCGAGCCCCCTCCGACCTGTCCTTGGACACTCCCAGGGATCCAGGGGCAGCCACAGCTTCTCTGAGCAACCTGTGCCAGGGCCTCCCCACCCTCACAGGGGATGATATATTCCCACTATCAAATCTAAACCTCTCCTCTTTTAGTCCAAATCGGCCCCCCCTTGTCCTGTCATCACTCTCTGCCCGTGTAATAAGTCCCTCTCCCTGTGTTTTATGAGCCCCCAGCACGAGAAAGGGCTGCTGGTGACACCGGGACAGCCGTGCCGGGTCAGCAGGGCCCCCCATGGCACAGCATCACCCGTTCCCGAGGGGACACAACGCTTCATTCAGGGGTCACCCCAAACCCCAGCACCGGTGCCGGTCCCACCAGAGCAGCACAGCGGGGAGGCAGCAGCAGCACACCGGGGCTGGGATTATTGCCAGAGGGGCTCGCTGCACACTCGTGCCCATGACTCTGGCCTGCAGGGGCTTCTCCTGAACATCTTGGATCAAACACCTTCCAGGTGTCACCGCCGGCTCCGGGAGGAAAACGCTGCTGGTGTGAGGTGGGTGGAGGGGAAGGACCGAGCAGGGAAACGGCTGAGACAGCTCCGACCGGGGCTGTGCCTGGGAGATTCCACAAATGCGGACACGAGCCGCCCTCACACAGACTCTCAGACATCTGCAATTCCCACGTCTCCCCCGATCAGCTGCCAGCTAACGAGCCCCTTGTTTTCCCTGCCGCAGCCAGAGCCACGGCTGTGCTGAATATTTCAAAGCCCGCAGCACAACTACAAATAGGGCAGCTATTTCTGGAGCTGGTAAATGAATCAAAAACAACGGCAAACACAGCGTCAGCGCCTCACCAAGAACCAGGTTTAACATCCCTCCTGGCTGCACGCCGCAACGGGAGCTGCATCGTGTTGGAGCAAAGTCTCATGGCTACAGTGAATTGGCACCAAGCACCAGGGAATGCAAAATGTTAAAGGATTAAGTACAGCCTTGGCAAAAAAAGGACATGAAAGATACAGTTGGTAAAGAACTGCTCTGATTCTTGTGTCACCAATTAAAAGAAAAATATGTTTAATAAGAATTGAAGAAATTCTTTTCTCCTTGTCAAGTTTACCCAAGAAACAAAACACTTCCATGGCCAATGCCATGGATTTTCCTTGACCAAGCAGTATTTAAACAAGGCCACACTGGTAAGGAAGTGTAACCTCTTCAGATTCACCTTCATAATTAAGATACAAGGAAAGGCATTAATCTCTGATACAGGTCCTGCTAGTCAGAGAATACCTAAGGGAAAGCAGGAATGATGAATCAGACATGGAGTGGTGAACCTTACACACTGTGTCCTCAGGCAAAGGGGTTTACTATTTATTGCTATAAAGTGTGAACCCCTTTTTCATGAATGTGGAACTCTTTCCAATGCAGTGCTGTCATTCATCCCTGGTTTTATCCATGCAGACCTTGTTGCAGATCCGGGGCCATAATTCCACAGAAGATCATTCATACACTTGGAGAAGGAGAAAAGACCCCATTTCATTGAAGCTCTGGAGCTTCTTAGCATGTTAAGGTACTTATAGAAATGGGACACTGATCGAGGAGGTTTTACTTCTAATACAGCAGAACACGATTTATGCTCCCCTTCCTTCAGCCCTGCACACATTACTGAACTCTCCAAAGCTGCCCTGCCCAGAGCACCCCCAAACCCTGCTTTTTTATTTATTTTTTTTAAGAAAAACCTCAATCAAAACAACCCCTTCAGTAACTTGGAGGGACCACATGACTTCTTTTTGGTCCTTAATGACCATCAAATAAAAAAAAATAAAGGAAGATACCAGGTCAAACTGGCTACTGAACTGGCAGTCTGGGAGCTCCATGGGCAGCCTCGATGGCCTCACTTGGCCATGAAAATTCTGTCTGAAACTGAAAGAAAGAGGTGGGAAAAAGCTCCAACACGAGGCAATTGTAAGTGCACTGCACGTGCCCTCAGACCAAATCCGTGTTTAGAAAAGCAACAAAACAATCCTAGGAAGGTTCTACTTTTTGAAGAAAAACTCAGTCAATCACCAGGCTACTTAAAATCTCCAGAAGAAAAACACGTAAGACAAAGCCAGTCACTGGTGACACATTTTAATTTGATACGGTCAGACCCTTTGGAAGTTAAACCAACAGAGTAAGACAGAACTAGAGGACAGGCAGAGTCATATTTACAGCCATTCAAAACTAGTAGTGTCAAAGCAGAGCTCAGTGGTGACAGAGGCATGGAGGCATACAACAAATAGTCCTTTTCAGATTATTATTAGGATTTTATTATATTATTTTCTTAGCTATTAAAAGAATCTGTTGCATTTTTTACTGCCCAGTTCTAACTCACCAGCTCCCCCTTGAAACGACTTGTGATACAAAAAAAAAAAAAAAAAAAAGTGCCATTTTTGCTGTTTGTAGACAACAAACCACCTGCTTTTGCTTTTCCAAACCTTACTGGAGTGGCACAGCACAGTTAACACTAATGCTCTATTTTTTACCATTAAATAAAAAAGAATAGTTGGGCAAAGTGAAAAAAACCAGATCGAGTCAGTGCCATCATTCAGTTGGATTCTGGATGACAATCAGGAAATAGTCTTTATCTGGAGAGGAAACAAAAAGAAAAAAAGAAAATTATTCTTTCATTGCTGATATTTGTTCACAGAAAGAGTAAATTTCAACACTTTTCACCTCTCCCTTATACACGGTGGGAATTCCAGAGCCCTGGTACTGATTCTCAACATGTAAAACAGGCTCTGTGTGTGTCAGATCACTTATTTTATGGGTTTTACTGAGAAAAAGTCTCAGTTTTACAAACTGCATGTTCCCAAGGCAGCTGAAGTTAACCCAGTTTGTGCCAGGAAATGACAGTAACTGGCACATGGGATCAAAACCAGCAGTGCAAGGTGGTGGTTTCCCTTCTCTTCCTGCAGGCTGCAGCCGTGTTTTTCTTGGAGCAATCTTTCCATCCTTCCTGTGGATGGAAATCAGAGGCTGCCCCAGCATAAACCAGAGCCTGTGTTGAGACGTGCCCGGGGCAACTGCCATCCCCTCCTTGGCCTCTCCATCAGCACCATCCCACATGGAGGACACAGAGGGAAGCTGAATTCCTGCCACGTCAGGGAACTGCACTCACTGAATGAGATGGAGCAGTGAGAATGCTTCCTGAAAAGCAGGTTGCTGCTGCTGTATTCCAGGACTCATCATTACAGCTACAATGTAACTCTAATACTTTCCTCAGAACTGGAAAATCAGGACTGTTTTGTTTTCTCACTCAGTCCACAGTTTGGAAACTGCTCTCAAAACATATTCCCTTCCAAATCCTGAGGTTTTATACCAAAAAACACAAAGTGTGAGGAGCTGCAACGTGCTCTCAAACACTGTTTAATGCTTTCTCCTTTGATCAGTGTGAAATGGGGGAAGTGATTTCCCACACTCGAACACAACAAAGCAAACCTTGGAACACGACGAAAGCTTTCAACTCTGCAGAGAGCCCAACAGCTCCCCGGCAAGAAGGGATTATCCAGTGCCAACACAGCAGCAGGCAAAAGGCTTCTCCCAGGCTGGCAGTGAGAAAACAATCCTGCTGGATGCCCTGATTCCCGCTCCCTTTTACCTGGAGCAACCATGATCTCGTTTTTCTTGGAGCGGATGCGCAGGAAGGTGAGGTCGTTCTGGGGGTCGATGTCCCGCACGGTGCTCCGCGCCTTCATGATGAAGCTGTGCATGAGCCCGGCGTACTGGATGGTTGTGGAGTTGTCCATGGTGCTTTTGATAGGGATACCTGCAGGAAAGGGACAGCAGGGCTCGGGGACAACACTCCAGAACCTCGGGCAGCGCCAGGTCCGGCTGGGGTGGCTGTTTCACCTCGGGAAGTGCTGCTGTGCACCAAGGGTCAGGAGGGTTCTTTTTTAAAGGCAACAGGAGAACATGGACAGCAATATGATGTGCAAAACCTGAGATCTGCAGGTGAGAACTGTTTACCTCCAGCAGCATCAGTGCTCCCCTTTTGCATTTTCGTTCATTTATTTATGAGTTAGAAATAAAAACCAACAAGAATAAACACCCCTAGAGGAGAGAGGAAATACCAGTGTTTCAGTTTTGTTCTCCTGACTGGGGACACCTTTCCCTTTCAAAAAGGCTCCTGATCACCACAGTTAAATGAGACTCAAGGAGGCCAGGCTGGGACTGGGATTGTACAGGACATCAGCTGCTGCATCACACAGATCCAAGGCTGAGGCTCCACTGCTCAGCCACAGCAGGTGATGCAGTCCTGAGGTCCCTGCTTCAGTGATCACCAGCCAGGAGGGCAGACACATTGTTGGGCCAGAGTTTTCCCTCCCCTACACTTCAGCCACTCATTAGATGTGCTTTCCCACAAAAAGCCAGTCAAACCCAGCTCAGGTGTCAGAACAACGCAGCAGCCAAGGACTAAATCCTGGCAGGGCAGAACCACTGCTGCAGGTTCCAACAGCTGCAGCTTCAGCCTGGAGAGCACAAGCCATTACTCACCATCAAGGAAAAGCAGTGAGCAGGAACACAAGCTACTCACATGTACCCAGCCATCTGATCCTCAGTATATTCATCATTTCTAGGACATATTTGATTTTAACTGATAATCACACCAATTTCAAGGGCTGCTCACAGTGTACTCAGAGTGCTCTGAAGCAGCTGCTCTGTTGGACCCTACAGAGACTCCAAAAAGAGATGATTTCCTGATGAGTCCTGCGAGGCCACGAGCACCAAGCAGTGCTGAGGAACTTGAGCCTGCCAGGCCAGCAGCACTCTGGACATGCACAGCAGCCAAGATCCCCCATCTCATGAGAGCCTCAGTGCTACTGATGGAGGTTTTGATAGACACAGTCTCAAACACTGGCATGACTCAAGCATTTCAAAGCTTCTGCAAATTATCTTAATTTATTTCCTAAAATAATAGAGTGAGCTTGCAGAAATGGAAACCCAATTTTGCCCTGTAGGCTGACAATTGTCTCTCTGCTCTGGCTCCAGCAAGACCCCTGCGCAGGTCAGACTCCAGGCTAAGTGGTACAGTGAGCAGCCCCCAAAGCACAGGGTTAGAACAAGTTACAGCTCAGGGAAGCTGACACAGCACCTTCCGAATTAACCACGATGATTCCCTGCACTCCTTTTTGGCTCTGGATTCGCTTCAGTGTCTCCTCCACCTCAGCCTGCAAACAGAGAAAGCACAGGTCAGCAGCTGCTGTTTGCCTCCCACCAGAGCTCTGTCTGCCAGCAGAGCTGCACAGGGATGATTCCAACACACCCTGATCAGCACAGCAAAGGGGCTGTGCTTTGGTATCAACTTTTCTGCGGGGCCTTTCCTGTTGTTTTCCATCTGTCCTTGTGATCATCATCTCGTGGAAACGTGGAACTCCCCTCTCATCTCCCCCTCCCTCCTCCTCCCCAACCCTCCCAGTGAATTCTTGCAGCCAGAAGTTGCAGTTGGGCCACCGCAATTTCGGTGTGAAACAAAAGTGATGTTTGAAAATAGACACGGAATTTATGAAAAAAGTAGGAAAAAGACACATTCTGGGTGCAAGATCACCTTCCCTTTTATCAAATAACTGTTAGGAGCAATTACTTATAAGAGAAGTGAGGGGAAAGCAATTAAACACTATTTGCTTATAATTCTGATTTGTGCTGGGAAGGCTGCAAGATTATAACACTACCAATAATTTATAGCTTAAAAAAGGAAAAATGCAAACAAGGCCAAGGCAACAGCCCCTTGTAATCCCTTTGCCTTCTCTGTAAAAATCATCAAAGTCAGAGGAGGTTTCAGTACCTTCTGCACAACTTCCACTGCTACAGGACACAGATCAAAATGTAACTATGGGTTCTGTAACAGGGTGGGAAACCCTCAGTACCACAGCTGGGGAAATACTTGGCATCTTTTATTCCAATTAAAGGAAACAGAGACAGGCAGCATCTTTCAGATCCTGCAAGGCAGAGTCCCACAGAAACGGTCAGGAAGGGGAGAGCCAGGACAGGTGAGACCCACGTGGGGCATTTGGGCACAACCCTCTGCACTTCCTCCCTCAGCAAACAAGCCCAGCCATGCTCTGTTCCCTGGGAACAGCCCTTGTCCTCACAACACAACACGAGCTCAGCCCCAGCACTGCCAACCCACTTTCCTGTTGGGAACACGACCTGTGCCTGATTAGGGATGGGACCCCCTGGGCTGCTCTTTGTGTTTCTGTCTGATACAGCACAGGAAGACACGGTCTTTTCAACAAAACTCTTGATTATTTCTGAATGCTGGATTATTCTCAAACAGAAGGCAAGGGGAGGGAAATAAAGAACAAGCTATGGGGTGCACAAATGCTGAGAGAAATATGGTGGCAAATCTCTTAAGAAATGAAGAAGCCATCTCCTGACTTCTTACTATCAGTATTTAAGTCCTGATTCATTAAATACTTTCCTTCACAGGACCTTTAAAAATGTCTGGATGCAAAGCAGCATCCATACAGAAGGACACCAGTTTTTAACTTCCTCTAACACCAAGAGCTGATCAAACTCCCAGGTGAGTGATGGGCTTCCAGTTCCCTGCTGCTGACATGGGAAGGTCCTGCTTCCCCTACTCCCACCCTGGGGCTTGTCCAACACCTCCACAAGCCAGTACAGCTCACCAGGGCAGCAAAATTCTTACTGAGAAAAAAAAATTATATATTTAACTCGTCAAATAAATAAAAACTATCTTAACAAAGGGCTGGATAACTACAAGTGACATGGGGAAGGAGAGATGCACTCCGGAAAAGGAGGATAAACGCTCCCCTATCACCAATTTGCTGTCAAATACCCTTTGCAACACCTACAAACAGCAGCTGTTCTCATCTGGAAAGCCTGAACTCCTGGGTTCACCTAAAAAACTCGTCTCAGCAGATAATTTCAATTTTTTACCGACAGATCAGGTCACCACTTATTTCTTTAGAAATTTTTGACGTGTATTTTGATCCCCGAATTTCACGAATATGCCCTGAACAACAACACGCCTGGGACAGGAAAAAACCTCCAACGCAATCACGACAGAAGGAATATAGAATATACCCCGGGCTTCACAGAAAACCCCAGCACAATCACAATAGAATCAATACATCCCGGCTCTCACGGAATATGAAACAGCCCCAAACAGTCCCCTTTTCCCTGAGTGCTCCCGGCCCCAGGGCTGTGCCCTGCCAGCCGCAGGCCGGGCAGGGTTCGCTGCGAGGTCCCCCCGCCTGCCCAC